TATTTGTTTATTTTTTTAAAAAAGATGACCGGTAAGGGGATTTTTTTTTATTTTATTTTTATTTGTTTATTTTTTTAAAAAAGATGACCGGTAAGGGGATCTTACCCCTTGACTTGTGTTGTCAGCACCACGCTCAGCCAGTGAGCGAACCGGCCATCCCTACATGGGATCCGAACCCGGGGCCTTGGTGTTATCAGCACCGCACTCTCCCGAGTGAGCCATGGGCCGGCCCGAAACTTACTATTTTTATATAAGAAAACCCAACCCCCCCAACACAAATGCACGCACACACTTCCTTCCACAAAATACAATACCACCATGAGCTTGGGATAACAGATGTGTAATAGGAGATGCCTGATCTAGGGCTGCAGAAATAGCTGTCAGAAGAAAGGTGACTAAATCAGGCACAGAACTGCTTGAAGCCTAAATTCTAAACAAAAAATACTTTCATTCTATAAAACAGCTCAGTAGGCCACTCCCCCAGCTAGCTCCCCATCTTTCACACAGCGGTCTTACAGCCATGGTGGTAATACACGAGCTCACACAGGGACAGAGCAAAAAATAAGAGGGGCAAATGGCACTGCCTCGAAGGATGAAAACACCCATCTTTCCTGTCTTTTTGGTAACCCCAGGCCCATATTATTAGAAAAGCTCTTCCCTACTTAGGACATCTCCTTCAACGGCCCATACTCAACTCAGCACAAGACCGCAAGAGGATGGTGCCCGGCCTTAGATTAACTGAAGTGCTTTTGTATGCACTGCTGCTAATGGATCATTAAAAATGCTGGGAGTCAGAAAAATCACATCCACATCTTTGAACAGCTCCTGCTGTCCCAGCAGCCTCGCCTGCTGGCAGAACAAGCTGCTGAGCACCGACTCCAGGAAGAAAAGGAGCGAAGAGAAGAAGGCCAACCCAGCTTGCTGGTTTTTGGCTGAGTAGGGAATTGACACAGACCACCTCCGGCTCCTGTCTGGAAGTTTGGAGATCAGAGAGCTTCAGGCACAGCTGGGTTCACAGCTGCACCATTTGGAGCATTGGATTCATTAATATTCATGAGCCATCCCCACCAATCGGCAGAGCGGATGCCATTAGCTTAGCATCTGTCGGTTTTTTGCAAGGGTTGTGTCTGGAGTTTTTTTCCCCTTTTAAATGAACTTCTTTTGACATTTTGGATTTGCCTCTGTAGGTTTTCTATCCTCGCCTTGCTCTGCTGCATCATATAAAGGAAAAACCCAGGGGAGATGGCAGGAAAGAGGGATGAATACCAGCCAGGGCTTTGCATCTGCCTGTTGACAAACTTTTATTTCTCTTTCAGCACCTGGCACCTCAGACAGCCTGTGAAGATGGAAGCAGCATCAGGTAAATTATACCTAACAAGGTTCATGCCCAGAACTGTGAGAAGAGCTGGATCCTGACTCTTTGGAAGACAATCCTTCCTCCAGTGGTCAACTTGAGCTGCACACACAATACAGGAAAATCGCAGTGCACAGTTCTGAACCATTATTTCCACGCTGATAAATTCATGATTTATGAAGGTAACTACCGCCAGCCCTCACTCCCTCCTTCTCTGCTACAGCTTGTTAGACATGAATTGCAACAACAGTCTTAAATACTTGCGTTTTATTTCAGGCCAAAGCCCCTAACTCTGAACTAAATGCCATGACAGTCCCACAGCATAGGCTGGTAGTAAGAGCCCACAGACAGGGTGGGATGGACAGAGGAGGGAGGAGTGGGCGAGAGGGGGACGAGCCACACACATACCCCTAAGAGCAGAGCGATGCAGGCTGCCTACAGCACTCGGCTCTTGCCAGCGCAGGCTCTCAGTGGAGAGGAATTATGGCAGCAGGAGGGCACAATGCCTCATTGTCTGAAGGAAGGCATGTGGTTCCTCATCTCCATCCCCAGAGCCCTCTCTTCCAGGCAGAAACAAAGCCCTTGCGCCCTGCTGGACTGAACATACGGCCTCCTTGCAACATAGCAGAGGCACACTATGGTGGCTGAAGCCCTAGGGGTATGGGACTGTTACTAAAGGAGAAGAAAAGGATTCAAAAAAAAGGAGCCCACTCTAACCCTGCAGAAAAGATAGCCATGACCCTGCTTTATAACCAGAAAAGACAGTGACAGCCCAGGACGGCCTTTTCCAAAACAAAGCCCTCTGAGCTGTTGCCTTTCCCTCTGGCTGTGGCTAACCATTTCTCTCTCATGTACGGCCATGAGCTGTTACTGGGTCTCAGGCCCCACTCAGCCAGGCTGAGGACTTGGATGTGCTGGAAACTCCAGCAACAGGAGTCACAACACCAGTTGAGTACAGTGGTATTAGCGGAGAAAAAAACAAGGAGGTGGGAGACTAAATATTCACCACCCTGTCCATGCAATGAGGTGTACAGGAGGCCAGCATCCCAGAAACAAAGTGCTCCAGGGACTGCAAAAACAGAAGCCAGCCAAGATGGGAATATAACTACGTAAGCATTCCTGTTGGGACAATATTCAATATGGCAGCTTAGAATCTGCCACTTACAGGTCCCCAAAACTAGTCACCTGTGGCAGTGCTCCTGGGACTATAAACAAACACCCGAAGAAACTCAGCACCCAAGAGAGTACATATGGGGTTCTGTGCAAAAGGAAGAGCCCCTGGGCCTTATGCTTAACTTACAAACATCTGCACAGTGTTCATTCCTATGGAAGAGGCATGAGGAGCTGTCATGACCCACTTCTGTGCAACTAACCTGAGCAGAGGCAACTGCAGCCTGGCTTCCCCTACATCTGCCTTGTGCCCACTCCCACCTAAGTCTCCTGGCCTGTGTCTTCTCCATCTGCGTTGGAACAGAACACAGAGCTCAGACCAGTGCTCACTTTTCCAAAACTGTTTCTAACTGACCAGGGTCCAAAGGCACAGTGTGGTCCCCTCCCACGACCCTCCTCACAGACTGAGAAGTGGACTCATCAGATCTTGCAAAATCACAGCATGACAGTGAGGAGAGGGGTGGGAGAGTGGGACTTTTCAAAGAAGGAACCTCAGAGTCAACAACAGGAGCCCAGACTTCTAAATCATCCTTTTCTTCACTGGGAGGTGGTGAGGGAGAGCTCTTCCTACGTGATCTTGGAAGAAAGCAGCAACTGGAAAACAGCAAGAAAGGAAAAAGAAGGGCATGAACAGATAAACAAAAATGAATGGATACACACAAGTGAATAGATCAACAAAATGTGCTTATGTATCCATGCAAATGGAATATTATTTCGTCATAAAAAGTAATACTGACCCATGCTACAACATGGATGAACCTCTAAAACATTATGCTAAGTGAAAGAAGCCAGTTACAAAAGATCACAGATCACTTGACTCCATTTGTGTGAAATGTCCAGAATAGGCAAATCCATAGACATAAAAAGGAGACTACTGGTTGTCAGGGGCTGGGGGGTGGGAAGGGAAAGGGGAGTCATGCATGGGTAGGTACAGAGTTTCTTCTGGAGTGATAGAAATGTTCTAAAACTGACTGTGGTGATTGATAGTTGCAAAACCCTGTGAATATACTAAAAACTACTGAGCAGTACACTAAAAAGGTAAATTTTCTGGCAGGTGAATTGTATATCAATAAAGCTATTATTTAAAAGGAGGGTGAGAAACAAAGAACAGACAAGAAAGCTCTCCCTTCTTTCTCCCCAGGTTTCAATAGGAGCCCCTGCTACCCAGTAGTAGATTAACACAGACCCACCTGGGATGAGAACCGTGCACACAGAGAGTGAGGCTTTTCTGAAAGGCTACCAACACAGTGACATTACTTTCCCTGACAAATGGATGCCCCACTGGCCAGGTTACAGTAATCCCAAGCCCTGCTGTCTCAAAAAGAGTGCTTCAGTCACCTCTTAGGCTGATCTCCTTTAGCCAGGTGAGAAGAGCTCTGTCTCTCCTCCTGGACCCAGCCACAGTTTGACATAGCATAGTGAAGAATGGCATCAGAAACAGTCATGGGGCTTCGGCCCTGGACACAGGCTTCTATCTCGGGCACTGAGAGCTGGCTTTGCAGGAAGAGGTGCAGCTGGCTGTCTGACAGAAGGACCACACTCTGCAGGACCCTGCGGGGAACAGAGGCGGCACAACACAGAGCATCACCCTGAGGAGTTGCTCTCCATCCCCATCTTCCGAAAGGCTTCTAGCTTGAGTGAGCACTGAAGGCGTTAGGGCACAAGAAAGGTGCCTACCACAAACATGCCTTGATGAGCAAGGGCAGGAGATCCTGCCTGGTACCTTCCTCTGCCTCTGCCCCACCAGCCAATGCTAGCCCACCATGTCCACTCACTTTTCCAGGAAGTGCTGCAGACCTTGTCGTCGTTTCTCAATGAACTCATCGGAGCTGCCAAAGAAGGCCGACTTCCCAGGAAGTTCAGGTACAGGGCTACAGAGTCACAAAATGTAACATCCAAGATAAGTGTAACGTCTAAGATAATCATTCCAGCCCCTGATCAAGGAAATCCCCTAAAAAGAGGCCTAATCAACACAGTTAGCTTTTAACTAAGGCAGGGAGGAGTTAATGTGCGGGGCTGAGGAGGCTACTGTCATGCAGCAGGCCCTCATAAGCCCGTTGAAATTCCCTCAGTTTCTCTGACAGATCCTGCATCCTCCAGTTGGCCTGTTGTTTTTAAAAAGTATGTGCTGCACCACCAGCACCTCAGGACCCCACCCGGGGGCCCAGGGTATGGAGCCGGATTACAGACCCACCCACAACCAGGCACACCACCAGCACCAAGGAGAATGCCAAAAACATCACCTCCATGTGGGTGGCCCACCACAGCCACCAGAGTAACCACGGCTGCTGTGAAAGTGGCTAGACATCACAACCACCACACAGATGGTCCACCAGCCACTGGATTGCATCGACACAAGGAGAGTTACCAGCAGAGACCAAAGAAAAGAATACAATGTCTCTCTCCACAAAGCCCATTCCAGAGTGACAGAAGAAGCATCTTCTCTATGAAAATATTGGGGGACCTGAACACACCTTTCAGCATTGGATATATCATCTAGGCAACAAATCAATACAGTAAACATTACTCTTTCAGAGGGAGAGAAGAAATCTAGGGTTATGAGTGGGGTGGGGGAAGGAGAGGGGGATAGAGAGAGATTGTAAAAGGAACATAAAGAATAAGTACAATTTGTAACAATATACATACGAGTAATATTGACTTGATCAACATGTCAATGTTGAATCCCAAAAATACGTATAATCAATTATGATTCAATTAAAAAAAATTTTTTTTAATTAGAAAAATAAAAGTATGTGCTGTACTTCAAACCTTCCTAGCTAGGGAGGTTTTAAGAGTTGATAGACGATTTGCTGCAACTAAATTACTTTTAAAGCCCCCCCCAATTTTAACCCCCCTCAACACAGACTGACTGCATGCCATGTGTCAGGCACTGTGCTAAATATTTTACATACGTCATTTCATTTAATCCTCCCCAAAACCCTATGAGAAAGATATTAGTGTCCCCACTGTAGTAGATCAGAAACGTTAAGTAAATTTCCCACTGTGACACAACTAGGAAGCAGCAAAGCTAGTATTGAACCAAGTCTATGACTCCAAATTCCATGCTGCTATACTACATGGCTTACAAAATCCACTCCCACCATCAACTATTATTATTATTATTATTATTTGTCCTTTTTGAGACCGGCCGCACCGTGCTCAGCCAGTGAGCGCTGTGAGCGCACTGGTCATCCCTATATAGGTCCGAACCCGCGGCAGGAACGCTGCTGCACTCCCAGCACCGCACTCTCCCGAGTGCGCCACGGCCTTGGCCCAACTATTGTTTTTAAAATGAAGAAATTTAGACATTGAAAATGCTGGGTCCTTCTGAGTAAATTAAGACTACCTACTGTAGTCCCAGAAAGTAACATGATTGGAATTTCCTAAAAGTGGCTGAGTTGCAGCAAATCATCTGTCAACTTTTAAAACCTCCCTAGTTTCTCATATGAAGTACAACACATACTTTTAAAAAACAGGCCAGGCTGGAGGATGCAGGATATGTCAGAGAAACTGAGGGAGTTTCATTTGGCTTATGAGGGCCTGCTCCATGACAACATCCTCATCAGCCCCACGTGTTAACTAACTGGCTTGGTCACCCAACAGGCCACCCACCACCACTGAGCATTCAGTGACCATCCTGCGGTGGAATGTCCTAATTCTCTCCACTTTCAGAACATATTTGGGGAGTGTGAGTGAGGAGTGAATAACTACCTTTCCTAAGGTATCTCCCTAGAAAATCAGCTCTGTGCTAAAAAGAAAAAAAAAAAGTCACAATTTTTATATGTCAAATGAACAGGAACACTACCTGTCAAATAAGTCCAGGTGCTTAAAATGTTCTGATAACCAGTCATAAGCACATTTAAAATGCTAGCAGTATATTTCCTGAGCCCTATGCTAAAACACATATGAAGAGAAAAATATTTTTGATGTCTGTAAGGCTTTGTTAGGTCAAAATACTAAAAATGAGAACTCTACTTTTTTCACTGACTTGAAAACATGATTTAAGAATGCATTTCCCGGGCCGGCCCCGTGGCTCACTCAGGAGAGTGCGGTGCTGACAACACCAAGGCCACGGGTTCGGATCCTATATAGGGATGGCTGGTTTGCTCACTGGCTGAGCGTGGCGCTGACAACACCAAGTCAAGGGTTAAGATCCCCTTACCGGTCATCTTTTTAAAAAAAAAAAAAAAAAAAGAATGCATTTCCCAATTTCCTTAGCGCATGGCATGTTGCAAGTTCTCTTCATTGTCAACTCCATTTCCCAAGTAAACACCTAAAAAGTCAGTCTCAGACCCAAGAAAGAAGCAAGAGCAAACTCACACCAAACCAGCGTTTCTCTGTAGTTGCTTTCTCAGCCACACAAACTCACGGTAGCGGCGCCGCACACAGGAAGTCTTGGCAGTAAAGGCCTTGCTGTTGGTCTACAGGAGGAAGTACACCACAAGGGTTTAGTGGGAAAAGACTAAGTTCACATGAGCCCCCCATCATCAGTCTCACTGAGGAGCCAGGCCATCAGGCCATGGTCCTGATCAGGAGGCCCCAACTGGAGCAAGGTGCCACCAGGCAGCCTAAAAGCAACTCACTGCATACCTCAAACTCTCTTTCCTCTCCTCCCTCCTTTTCTTCTAAGTCTTCTGTCTCAGGCCACCAGAAACATTCACAAACAGATTCCACCTCAGCACAAGCCCTCAGCCCTGGAGACTGTTGACCCCAATACAGAACTGATGCACTCACATGGAGGAATATCTTATAATCCACATAAGAATTCCAGGAGCCCTCATTCTGCACGCGGGGGTCTTGAACACGCACTGTGATCACCTCCTGTGGGTAAGAAATGCTCCTTCAGCTTCAGCTCAGCCACACAGAAAAGCAGCTTTGCAACACAGGTTGCTAGATTTTTTCCACTCAGCACCAACTTTCATTCATTTGTTCATTCAGTTCAACAAGTATTTACTGAGCACTACGATGTGGCAGACACTGTTCTAGGTGCTGGGGATAAAGCATGAACACAAGACAAAAATCCCTGCCCTCATGAAGCTTATATTCCAGTACATTCCAACCAACAGAAAAGTTAGTTAGAAGTAGAACCTCATTTCCCAGCAATGCCTCTACTATTGATTTCCTTCTCCTGGCTTTATTTTGAGCTCATCAGAACCACCACGGTATCACTGTAGGAAGAACACCACTGAGCAATGATTTGCATCTCTGTGTCCTCCCTCCTCCTAAATCCCCGCCCCAACTTTGACCCACCTGTTCCCTGGAGACCACACTCTTACCTCCTGCTCTTGGTTCTCCGACATCTTATACCAAAAGCCCATTGGAAGAAAACATCTGATGAAGGACAGAGGATACAGGAACAATAAGGGTTAGTGTACCTCTATTCTTATCACTCTTCTTCAGAGCAAAACTCTGAAATTTTCCAGTAGACCTCCCTGGGGAAACCCAGGTAACTTTTTTAGTTCTTGTGTAAAACCTAAGAGGAAGCAAAAACATCCCCCACATTAACTCAGTGCCAAGCTAAAAGTCCTGGGGGATGCCTCTATTCTTATCACTCTTCCTCAGAGCAAAACTCTGAAATTTTCCAGTAGACCTCCCTGGGGAAACCCAGGTAACTTTTTTAGTTCTTGTGTAAAAACTAAGAGGAAGCAAAAACATCCCCCACATTAACTCAGTGCCAAGCTAAAAGTCCTGGGGGATTTGCCTCCCTTCTCAGACCCCTGCCAGGACCCTCCACTAAGCCACCTCTCCCCAAAGCACGTTGAGGTCTGTGGAGAGTCTGTCCCAGGCAGCCAGAACAGACAGGTTCAGTGGTAAAAACCTTTGCCTCAAGGGCTACAAGAGCAGTGGTGTCTGGTGGGCACTCAGCACAGCTTTGAAAGTGAGCCTCATAGTGCCCCCTCCTGGCTATTTAGAGACATCCAAGTCCCCACAAACTCCAATGCTCTTGAATCTCTGTTTTGCTAACCAGTCACCTCCCCAAAGGTGAATCATAGAGTTTTAGTGTTCCAGGGAGTGGGTTGCCCAGTTGTGACCTTCCCTTATCAAATCCGTTCTCCAGAACCCGAGCCAATAATTCTAATCATTTCCTCTCTCAACATGCCATCCGGTTTGTTTCTCTGCCCAAGCACCCCACAGCTGCACAGGTCAATTCAGGATGTATTCCGCTCCTTGTAAAGATTCATTAAAGCCTAAATTCCTGATTTCCCCCAGTGTGGCAGTTTACATGTATAGCGACATCGCCCACTCCGACAAGGGGACCATGAAGGCTGCAGCATAGGGTTACTCAACTCCAAAGGGGCCCATGATGTCACCTTCTGTTAAAATACAGCACTAATCTTGTTACTTCTAGAACCACTCCAACAGCATCCACCCTGGCTGCTGCCTCCACCCGCCTTCTCCTCTCTTAAGAGCAGAACAATAAGGTTTAATTTCCCTTTCCAATTTACCTTGAAATGAAAACTGACTTCAGCCAATATGTACTGCCAACAAATGCCCTGGCTGGCTCCTGGGAAAACAACACTATATCTGAGCTCTCCCTCTCTGCCCCACCCCCATGCCCATTCACACACCCACTCATTTTCACAGTCCCACAATTAATTTTAAAAACATTCTCTTATTAGTTCTGCCTTACCATTAGAGGAGTATGTAATGAGTTTCCTTCTATTTTATGTTTTGCTAACACAAGGCTAATGTTTCAAAAGAAGGGGAACTCATTTACACCACGAAATTAGCAGACCCAACAGCTTTTCTAATTCTTTCCAATACACCAGAAGGTCTCTCTACAGACAGACATTGCATGCAGAGACAAAACTGCATGGTATATGACAAAATTGAGCTGCACTGTCGAGTAAATCCAAGGTTTTGTGATTTCAGTACCATCTTAAACAGCATTCTTGCTGACAATCTGATTTTTCATCTGATGCAGTCAACACCTCCAAGGGGTCCTGAACTGAAAGGTAGGAAATTCCAATTCCATAGCAACCCATGTATAACATTCCAGATGTAGTAGTCAAATGGCTGTGACCAAAAACAGCAGACGGACTTGCTGTGAACAATTTACCTCTGTGGATTAAAAAAAAAAAAAAATTTTTTTTTTAAGATGACCAGTAAGGAGATCTTAACCCTTGACTTAGTGTTGTCAGCACCACACTCTCCCAAGTGAGCCATGGGTTGGCCCTTAAAATTTTTTTTTTCACTTCTCTTTTCAGGAATTTGGTAAATTGCCAGTAGAGAAGCAGAGAGTTAAATATTCTGAAGTATCTTTTCACAAAAGTAACAATAGGAAAGATGATGGCAAGGAAATCATAGTCATCCACACACTCAATGGAGCTCACACATCTCCTGTGCCTTGAAAGGTTTGCCAAAATCAGGACCATAATCTAGTAACTACATGGTCATCATACCCTTAGTCTCAAGAATAGTTTGCATAAGACCCTGCACCACCTCCACACAGAACTAGTTCTCCTTTCCTTTGGGGCCAGTACCACTTAGAAATAACTAGCTATAAACTGGCTTTAAAAAAAAATCCCAAGGGCCGAGCCCGTGGTGCACTCGGGAGAGTGCAGCGCTTGGAGCGCAGGAGCGCTCCCGCCGCGGGTTCGGATCCTATATAGGGATGGCCGGTGCACTCACTGGCTGAGCGCGGTGCAGCCGGTCACAAAAACGACAAAAAAAAAAAAGAAATCCCAAGACCCTCAATATGCTGTATACTCAAATCTAAATTTTTTTTTTTTTTTAAAGATGACCGGTAAGGGGATCTCAACCCTTGGCTTGGTGTTGTCAGCACCACGCTCAGCCAGTGAGCAAACCGGCCATCCCTATATAGGATCCGAACCCGTGGCCTTGGTGTTATCAGCACCACACTCTACCGAGTGAGCCACGGGCCGGCCTACAAATCTAAATTTAAAAGGGCACTAAGAAAGATTCAATTTTAAGTTTCTTTAGAAACACTGGTACAAATACAAAAACATAGACTGCAAGTAATAATTTCTTTCTTTTTTTTTTTTTTTTAAAGATGACCGGTAAGGGGATCTCAACCCTTGGCTTGGTGTTGTCAGCACCACGCTCAGCCAGTGAGCAAACCGGCCATCCCTATATGGGAATGTACAGAAAACTCCAGAATAGTGCCTGGCACTGAGTCAGTGCTCAGTAAGTCAGTGCTTTCCCTTCACTTTTGATGCCCTCTTTCCTAGTACAATGTGTCCATTTCCACTCCAGACCTCTAATGGCACTAGGTACAGGTACATGTATATGTCTATGTGCATAAAACCACATCATTTTTTTTTTTTTTTTAAAGATGACCGGTAAGGGGATCTTAACCCTTGACTTGGTGTTGTCAGCACCACGCTCAGCCAGTGAGCGAACCGGCCATCCCTATATGGGATCCGAACCCGGGGCCTTGGTGTTATCAGCACCGCACTCTCCCGAGTGAGCCACGGGCCAGCCCAGCAAGTAATAATTTCTAACAACCACTATTCATCAGCTTCCTCCCCATAGATTCCACTCCTCCGATGGAAATGAAGCTCAGTTCGGCCCTTGGAGAGAAGCAGGAAGTTCTTAACTTTAGCTCAATGATCTGGGGGGCATATCTGTGTGTCATCCAAGTAAAGACAGAGTCAGTGACCCTCTCGGCTAGGTACACAACTTACTCAGCACTATCTACATTTCCTGGGCCCTTTCAATCACATCTGAAGTTTCCTTTACTTTCTCCACCCGTACCAGCACCAATATCTTTGGTGAGAACCCAGTTATTTGCTGTTTACGAAGAAGATTCGTCACAAAGCTTGTAAAGATTTCCAGTGTCCTAACAATTCAAGGTAGCAACTCATGGCTTTTTGCCTCACCATTTTCTCTCCCATTTAAACTTCAAGAGACACGTTAAGAAAAAATCAAGTGATCAAAGCCGACTGAGCCACCGAGACGCCCATCCTTTCTCCTTGAGCCATTGGTGCCAAATGGCAGATGGCAACTCAAAGAGCTCTCCTATCTAAATACTCACAGGTGCTAGAGGAAGCTCCCCTGTCTGACCAAGTTCTGTGTGGTCTCAACCAAGCAGCTCTCTTGCAATCTTTTGTCCATCTCTAGCCTACTCCTCCTTCCATTTGGAAGATGAGTAACATAGGCAACCACAATCTAGCGCGAGCCTCCTGTGTCCGCGTAAAAGACTTGCCATTACCCCCTAGTCCTAGCCGCTTAGGTAAATGTCCCCATTCTCTCACCACGGCCAGGCCCCCTCCGTTTTTAACGAAATAGGAGCAAAAGGGTCACACAGCCCTTCTCCTTTCCCGATTAAGCTTCGGGAGTGAGAAGGAAGATACCTTATACTTTCAAAGTAAACTGAAAAGCCAAGTTTCCTTTCTTGTATCCCGAGCAAGCTCCCGCCTTCATCCCGGGCGGTGACAGCCCCTTCCCTAGAATGTCAAGCGAAGCCACCATCCCAAGTGCCACTACTGACGCTCACGCCCGTGCCCCTTCACCTGAGAGCAGCACCTGCTCCCCACAGCAACACCGCCAGCGCCCCACCATATAGCCAGAGTCACGGCTTCTCCTTCCGGGTGAGTTGCCGGTGCCGCGGTGCACGACGGGATACGGCTCCGACACGCCAATCCCTGGTGCCCCGGACGCCCCGCCCCTGCAGGCCCGGCCTCTCAGTGGCGCTTCCCGCTCCCCCGCGGCGCGGCTACGCCCAGCCCAGGCCGCGGACGGGGGTCGGGATCCCCTCTCGACTCACTTGGGGCGCTGGAGGGTGGACGCGGATGCTGGGTGAGGGGCGGTGAATGGGCTCTGACCTCCAATTCCGGGCCGCCTCCCGCCCACTGTTGTCAGGTGCAGCTAATCAGCGGCCAAGGAGCGTCATTAAAGGTCGCTGGTGGGTCCTGGAAGCAGAGAGGTGTGAGGGAGTTGTCACTGTTCCGGTTCAGTGAAGGCAGTCTGGAGTGTGGGAGGCTGGGGAAGAAAACGCCCACGTTCCTGGAGCCTCACTAAGTCCGGCGTTTGAATTCCGTAGGTTGCAGTTCCCCAGCGGAGCTACCAAGGGGACTCCAACTCAGATTCGTAAAGCCACTGATTGTCAGAGCGAAAACGACTTGAGAGCGTCAAGCAACTCACATTGATTGCACTCGCCGAAACAAGCCCAAAGAAGGATCATGCAGCTAGTTAGTAAGCAATTTAAACAACCTCTTTGAAGGTAATTTTAGCAAAGATATTATCAAGGAAAAAGTTATGGTCACAAATACAAGCCCTGGAGCTAGACGACCTGAGGAGCTTTTGTTTGTGTGGGAAATTCACCGATTTAGAAATTAATGAGAAATTCAAAAACACGTACTAATTGATTCATTTAAAACAATAATAATAAACCGTTACATGTTAATATATGTTATGAGATATAGCCGTTTTCCAAAACAAACAAAACGAGTAGAGTGACATTGTATTACAATTTTGAGAATCTCTTTAATGTCTGGTTTAATAGAAGACAGCTGGATTCTTATATGTGCTTCCCCATTTTCTCTGTTGTGCTGTGTTGCTTTGGTACATGAAGAAAATCCGGCCTTACACAGTTAAATAGTTGGAAAAGAGAGGAGTATTTTTAGCCTTCTCGGACAATTATGAATACTCTTCTTTGATACTACCAAAACTCAATAAATGGTAGTTTCTTGCCTAATTTTTTTTGTTTGTTTGGTGGTGGCTGGTGGGTAAGGGGATCCAAACCCTTGACCTTGGTATTACAAGGTTGTACTCTAACCAACTGAGCCAACTGGCCAGCCCAAATGGTAGTTTCTTAAAGGTTAGGTGCAATGGAGATTTGAAACCATTTGGAAAATATTGGTTCAGAGTTATGCAGAACTTCCAATGTTGATACATTTCATTATTCAATATAAAAATCACATTTGTTAACATCATCACTGATCTCATCAGGAAAGTCTCAGGAAGCTGTGAGGCTCACTGTGATGAACACCACATTTTCCAAAATTATAACTGCTTGAAAGCTCAAATTTAATTTATTTATTTAACACTTTCATTTTCCTTGAAGAGGCAGGCTGATTTCCCTCCCTCAAATACCCAAGTCTGAATAACCATAGTTTTTCTGTCAGTCATTCTTTCAAGTAAAAAGTTAAAATTTTTTAGGGCCGTGGCTCACTTGGGAGAGTGCAGTACTGACAACACCAAGGCCATGGGTTCGGATCCTATATAGGGATGGCCAGTTAGCTCACTGGCTGAGCGTGGTCCTGACAACATCAAACCAAGGGTTAAGATCCTCTTACCAGTCATCTTAAAAAAAAAAAAAGTTAAAATTTTTTTAATCTATGAAAAAAACAACTCGTTCAATTCACACATCTCAAACAATTGCACAACCATCATATTTCAGTAAGCAGCAGAAGTGCTTTATGCATACCTCCCATTTCATCACATAGAACATGAAAAAGACGTGCACTCTAGGAAAGAGATTCCATAAAATTCATTATTTTTTGCTGCTTCATGAAGGGTAATGAAAGTAGCTTTTTAATTCTTTTATTGCATGTGTATGGCAGTGAAAAATACAATGACTAGTTCAAGTTGGTGCCTCTGCCTTGATTCATGCCAAGATTCTGGCAGTTTCAGCCACTGTTGCTTCTGAACCATCAGTGAACATGTCAACACAGTGAAAAGGAGCAAATAAATAATGTCTTAAGGGCCGAGCCCGTGGCGCACTCGGGAGAGTGCGGTGCTGATAACACCAAGGCCAAGGGTTCAGGTCCTATATAGGGATGGCTGGTTCACTCACTGGCTGAGTGTGGTGCTGACAGCACCAAGTCAAGGGTTGAGATCCCCTTACCAGTCATCTTTAAAAAAAGATGACAGGCTGGCCGGTTAGCCCAGTTGGTTAGAGCGTGGTGTTATAACACCAAGGTTAAGGGGTCAGATTTCCCCCCCCCCCCACACCTCCAGCTGCCAAAACAAACAAACAAAAACAAATATTGTCTTGACAAAGATTATTAAGACTGAGTTGCCAGTACCCCTAGAAAGAAAAGAAACTCTGAGAGTCTGAATAATTTAAAATGTCACTACTCTTATGGAAGGAGAAAACTAAAACCATTTAATCTCAAACAAATTTCAAAATGAATATTGATGGGCCAGCCCGTGGCTCACTCGGGAGAGTGTGGTACTGATAACACCAAGGCCACGGGTTCGGATCCCATATAGGGATGGCTGGTTAGCTCACTGGGTGAGCATGGTGCTGACAACACCAAGTCAAGGGTTAAGATCCCCTTACCGGTCATCTTTTTAAAAAAATGAATATTGATAACAGAAATTTAGGCTTGTGTTTGACATCCATCCCTGGCAGAATTCCAGATTAGCATAAACCAGTGATGCTGGGCTATCAAAAAAGAGAAGATAAACTTTGGCTCCCTTAATTCAAGAATGGTATAGTGTACTGGAGTAGTGACAGCTCTCCCTACTTAGAAATACAGAGACAGAATTTACAAACAATCTAGATGTGATAGATCTTAAACTGTTGTCCAGTGATGTGCAGATTAAGAAAATGATGACATTTAGCCCAGAAAATCGAGACCTTGTGGAATATAAGGTTAAATTTCACTACTAGAAGGATCATAGGAAAGAGAGATTAGATTTATTCTGGGTGGCTACAGAAGCTAGAATTAGGAAAAATAGATGGCATGTACCTGGGGAGCAGAATTCAGTTCAATATAGGGAATTAGGGATTTCGTGCAGAAAGGAATATGGTTTGAGAGTAAGACGGAAATAAGATCAAATCTTGAGAGCTTGTTTGGAGGTTCTAGCAGGGGAGCGCAGCTACTCCTATACCCTTGATTGAAGAACGGTCCTCTCCTCTATCGAGTTAGGTTGTCCTCGTCAACTGAGCGCGCAGCTCCAGGAGGGACCCATATGGAGTGGTGAGCGGGGAAGGGGACACCCACCTAGCCAGCTAGATCAGCAGAATCAACCCTGGCAATCAATGGGGTAACAGATGTCGCAGCCAGATCACCCTCACATTCATGATCATATCTTGAAAGGGATGACAGACATTAATGACAATAAAGTGGGTGAATGTTATTGTGGGAGACCGAATATCCGTATGAATGGGTTTGATAACAGCGATCTAGTTGAAATCAGAACCAGAACCCTTGTCTCAAGAATAATAACCTGGGGCCGGCCTGTGGCTCACTCGGGAGAGTGTGGTGCTGATAACACCAAGGCCACGGGTTCGGATCCCATATAGGGATGGCTGGTTAGCTCACTGGGTGAGCGTGGTGCTGACAACACCAAGTCAAGGGTTAAGATCCCCTTACCGGTCATCTTTTGAAAAAGAAAATTTAAAGAAAAAAAAAAAGAAGAAGAAGAACCATGGTTTTTGCCTAATTTTGTTTCCTTGGGGTAGCCGAGTGAGGGTTGCCGGAGATCAAGGGATCGGTACTTAAGCCACTAGCTGGCACAGCCAATGAAAAAGGAGTAATTAGGAAGCCATGATGATGCCTACCAGGCGGACCTGACTTACTGTAGGGAGTCAGGGAAGGCCTCGAAGGGGAACTAATCCCAACGCTGAGGAGTGGGAGCCTTACAGAGATGTGAGGAGGCGGAGATAGAGGATTACAGAGATTATTGGAGATTTGAAGAAGCGGAGATTTGGTAAAACTCTAGTGGGGAACCTGTTAAGATTCAAAAATTTCGACGATGTTAATCACAGAACTGTCCAGAAGTCGTTGATTTGGGGGACCAACCATCAAGGGGCTTACTTGTAAAATCACACATACTAATATTCTGGGATGCAGTGTCGTAAACTATACTCTCTCCGCCATTGTAGTTTAAAAACTAAAACTCCTTCAATCCCCGCAAGCTGTGCGTGCTGCGTGGGACGCGCGCAGCACTTCGGGCCTTGTAGTCTTGAACGGACTCCGAGTCCCATGGTGCCGTGGGGCGGGTCGTCACGCCTGCGCGGTGCGGGCGGCGGGCAGCGCAGAGTGCAAGGCTCTTTTGTTCGGCAGAGGGGAGGGCCGTTGGCCGTGGCCTGTGGTACGCCGCTTCAGTGAGGGGCTCGACCGCGGCCACCGGCTTGTCGCTTTCCTGGGCGCCACTCCCCCGGCCGACCAGACGAAACGCGCTAGTGGCGCGGCACCGATTCCTCTTGGGCTCTTGGCGCTGCTCTGAGGTGAAGAGCCCGCTAGAGGCGGGGAAGCGGGGGGAGGGGGCGCGGCGGCGGCGGGATTCCAGGGTGAGGGGCCGCTCTCGCAGCAGAGGTTAGGAGCGGGGAGCGCGCCTGGGCCCAGAGCCCTGCCCCTCAACTTCCCGCGCGGAGCTTTCCCTCTGGGGCAGAGGGGTCTGGCGCCAGCTGCGTGAAGGATGTTGAAGGCGGGGTGGCGAGTCCTCAGCGAGATATTGAAGCGATTCGCGGTGGGCAGAGCACTTAGGGATCGCTCTTCTGGGCCCGGGTAGACCGAGACAATGCTGCTTGGGTTGGGTGGGCGTCTGGACTGGGCTGGAGAGGAAATACTTTAGGAAATTGGAAAGGGCACAGGCTTGATACGTGGATATATATGCCTGGAGAGGGGCTGACGA